GCTGGGGCTGCCCGTCCTGCAGCTGAGGAAGCGCGCCAGCCACCTGCGGAAGCTCGGGCTGGGAGAAGGTGCTGGAAGGGGGCACGCCCAGGGGCTCAGTGCTGGGCCCGGACTGGGTGAGGGGGTCCCTGGGTGAAGCCCTGAAGGGAAAGCTATGGTCTGGCTTGGGGGTGACCCGGGCCTGGCAGCACTGACGGACGGAGTTGGAGCGCTCTGGGAGAAGCAGGAGGCGGGTCGCCACAGGTGGAAGGAATCCCCAGAGCCCCATTTGGCTCAGGAGGGGGTGGGAGGGCCTGAGTGCTGGAGGGAGGTGGGGAGGCCGACCACGGCAGGGGGGGGGGCAGTCCGTTGGGCTGTGAGCCCACGGAGCTTGTGTTCTGCAGGGAAACTGAAGAGAGTGCTCTTCTGCTGCCCCGAAGTCCTCACCATGCCCCAGCGGGACCTGGACGCAGTCCTGGGGGTCCTCAGGGACAAGTGTCTCTTCAGCGCGCAGCAGGTGATGGAGGTGCTGCACAGGTGCCCGCACGTGCTCCGGGCGGACCCTGCGGAGCTGGAGTACAAGTTCCAGGTGAGGTGTTGGGTGCAGCTGCGGGGCAGGGCGGAGGGCGGCCAGCGGGCCAGGCCTGGGAACCCCAGGGCAGGCGATAGCCGCCAGGTGGGCCACAGAAAGGGGATGAGACGTGCTCGGGCACTTGGGGACACGGGGGAGACACAGTGAGACCCGGGGGGGTGGGCGGCAGGAGCGGCCTTGGCCTCGTGCCCCACCCCGCGCATCCCCACCATGAGGGGCCTCCGCCAGGGTGTCGCGGGTGGCCGGCGTGGCCACCAGGTGGGTGTGCGGGCTGGCCGGCCCTTCCCGGCCTCCTCTCCTGGCCCGTGGGGTCTGGCAGGGTGTGTGCTGCGTGGCGCGGGGCGTCCGGGTGTGGGGGCCGGAGCCCCTCCCCGCCTGCAGCGGGCGCGTCTCTGTGGCTCTCGCTGTCAGTGAGCGGCGCCGGCTGGTCGCCAGAGCCTGGCTCTGCACGGCGGTGCTCGCTGTGGCCGTCACCGTCCCTGCATTTCCGTGTCTCGCTGCCGTGGGAGGGAGGGTGGGCTGGCCCTGCCGCCTGAGCCCTGCTGTGTGCCGCTCGGGTCCGGCCGTGGCGGCGGCGGCTCTGGCTCTGTCTGCAGTACGGCCACTTCAGGATGGGGCTGACGCACGCGGACGTGGTGAGGACGGGCTTCCTGCAGTTCTCCATGGCCAAGATCAGGCAGAGGCACGTGTTCCTGGAGCGCCTGGGGCGGTACCAGACCCCGGACAAGAAGGGGCAGACACAGATCCCCAACCCCCCGCTCAGGGACATCCTCCGGGTGTCCGAGGCCGAGTTTCTGGCCAGGACGGCCTGTGCCCCTGCCGAGGAGTTTGAGGTTTTCAAGAAGCTCTTTGCTCGGGAGGAGGACGAGGCGTCTGAGGGCCGCCTGCCAGAGGACAGGGATGCAGACCCCGACGAGGATGAGGACGCGGACTCGGATGCGGACTCAGACCCAGAGGGACGTGATCCCCTGGAGGGCGGGGAGGGCGCCAAGGGGCGCTGACGAGGGCTGGTGGGGGGTTCTGCCCAGGAACCTAACCTGAGCCATTAAATTGGGGCGCGACACACTGAGATGCCCCTCTGGTCTGTCCTGGTGTGGGGTTGCGGCCCAGGCTGGAGCTGCGTTTCCTCTGCCGGAGGGCGGGAGGGTCTGTGCGCGGCACATTGTGCTGCCCACGTCTTCAAGGTTGGCCCTGACTGCCCTGGGCAGGTCACGTGGCCGCTTCCAGGCCCGAGGCCTCTGGGTGAGTATGTAGCGGTAGGTGCTGGACTGGAGGGCCAGGGCTGAGCAGGCCCTTCGTCAGTCTGCCATGGGCAGCCTGGACCACCCTGGCCTCTTCCTGGGCACCTGGGACCTGCTCTGCGGGACACCCCTGTTTGGGCCTCAGGGGTCCAGGACGAAGGTCTGTAGCCACTTACTGGCCACCGGCAGAGGCACTGAAGGAGACAGCTCCTTGGGTCCTGAGACCGCGCAGCTACTGGCCTTCAACATTCCTGAACCGCCCAGCGGCAGGAGTGGCCCGAGCCGTGACCACCCTGCGCCAGGCGGTGGCTCCTGCCGCCCAGCAGCCGCCCCTTCTGCTGGGGGCGGTCACGGGCTGGGCCAATCGGGTGCGAGCTGTGAGCTGATTGGTGCCAAGCGG